CTCGAGAGGTGCCATTTGTCTAAAATCCAACAGCCTTTCTTATGCAAGTTGGTTGACATTGTCACTTGAACTTACCTTCTTAAATTTCATTGTAAATTTAAAGTGAAAGAATTCTTTTTAGAGACTTGTCTTTTCGATAAGTACATGTATTAAGATATATATTTCTTGGTAACGATTTCATTCAATTTGGTGGTGAGGTACCGCATACCATGACATCATCGTATTCACAAACGTCCACTTTGGGGAACGCTTTTGAAAACCCGCGTTTTTGGCTCCCAAAAACGCCGTTTACGTCTGGACGGAAAGCTAAAACGCTGAAAAAAAATCCTTGTATGATGTATCTAGCCGTACAAAGGTTGATGGGATTGATTATTAAAAGCATGGCGGATTAGATTCGGAGTGTTTCTGGTGCAGCTTGATAATCCGTGTGAATCGGTTTCAATACGCGATTAAGACACGACACAGGGGACCTCGGAAAGTTATCGTCTCAAGCTTTTCTCTTGAACAGGCCCAACTCGATCCAGAGAGACGTTAAAATTTGCGTTGGGGTTAAAAGTACGAAGGCGAAGAACAAACGGCTGGTAATGCTCGTTAGATAATTGAACAAATAAATAAATGTGGATTGGAATTTAAATTGAGAGCTCATTCCATTGTTACCCTGTACTTCAACTAAAGTCGAAGCTCTCGTGAGCGACCACCTCGGAAATTCAAAAGAGTGGTCTATTGTTTATTTTTTATTTTGTTTTCCATAAGTTATACAAAGCAAAAAAATAAAATAAAAATCTAATTGTTTAAACTCTCAAGGCGAGGAAGCCCAAGAGAAGCCACCGGGCTTATAAGGAATGGGCTCCCTCAGTTAGATAATTAGAACAAAATATTATCATAATTACACATGGGGAAATCAATGGCAGAGCTACAGTAAATCTTAAAATAAATATATTAAATAGTCGTACTAATCATAGTTCTAGGCTAACAAAGAGTCGTAACAAAGAGCTAGTTGCCTCAGAGAATGAGCTCTACTTGTAATCGGTAGCACGGTAAAACAATAGAAGTTGGTCGCTTACGAGAGAGTTTCAGACACTCATAAAAAATTCTGTGAGTGGTCGTTGCCACGCAAGCTAAGTGGTCGCTACGGAAATGTCTTTGAACTTTTACAAAAACTATACTCCACCGTAAAGGGTCTTTATCAACGAACCATTAGTGCAGTGAGCAGTTTCATTTAAGTGTTGATTTATATGAATAGGACTCTGAGTGGCCGTTTACGAGAGGTAAAAAGCAAAAGAAAAAACTCCATTTGGGTAATCCCAAAAGTGAACGCGGTCGCTTTACGAGAGCTGCATTTCATTACAAAGTTTAAGTCGCCGTCTTCACACGGGGTTTCACATAAGTGGTAGTAACTAGGGCTGGTCGCTTACGAGAGTGGGTCGCAAGGAGAGCTTCGACTGTAGTTTGTTACAGTTGAATCTCACTTTATCGAACCTCTATGTAACCAGTTCTAATTAATGGTAAGCACCCTAAGTAAATTTAACTGGTACAAAGGACCAAAACACGAAAACACAAAAGTCAAAGCATAAGATACCCAAGCACACCTTTAAGTCTCAGTGCTTGGAGTTCAAATCCCAGTTATATTTCATAAAGCTGACTTTAAAGTTGCCGCTGATCAAAAGTTCCTCCAGTTGGTCTTTTTTCTGTCCCTTTCCCATGTGAGCCAGGACGAACCGAACAAGCTGGAAAAAAAAGTTAGTTAAATCAATAGTAAGATACAGTTAGATGAAGACATAACAATAATGTACATCACATCACCAGCGGCTCAAATTTCCCTTTCGGAAACAGTCGCTGCCATTTTTAAGGCACTTTGAAAACTTTTGACCTGCTATTGGGGGTGTTTCTATAAAAAAAAGAAAGAAAATCGCAACCCAGGGTCGAGCCCGGACCTTTCGTCCCCCAAAAACTCTCCCTTAGCACCACACTACCACACCGATCCACCAATAACAGGTGTCCCTAGCCCTTTCTATAACTTTTAACGTCAATTCAACTTGGGCTTCAACGTCGTAATAAAATGCCAGGGATGGAAGGGGAGAGAGAATTGGAGGGGAGAGAGAATTGGAGTAAATTGTGTAGCTCGCGAGGGCAGGTTTCAACACTGGCTCTAATATTGGAATGTCAGATATACTATCTCCTTTTGGTTGGAGTAAATCTGAACCCAGTGCGCTGTCGTTAAAAAGTATTTTCTGGGACTTTAAGGGGGGCTGGTATTACATCTATAATGACTAAAGGTTTGGTTGCCAATGGTGGCATCGATGAAAGGGAAATAGGCTTCAACACACTTCTGGTGTTTCGATACAGTTTTCAGCGGACCATGTAAAGGACAGTTATCAATCGGAGGCTAAGCGCTCTAATCATCAGGTGGATGATTCCGACCGTATCAACTCAACCTTAAAGTATTAAATTCTAGCGATGAATAGGACGAGACGCCATCTTCCCTTTTCACTCTTTACA